CGGCTCAAATGATAGTTTAAAGGCTCGTTGTGGATAAAGGTACGATACAAATAAAGAATGATAATAAAAGAGTGAGCTTGATTTCTTCCAGAATGTTAGCCACCTTTAAAGCATCTTTCCTCATCATAAGCAGCCTCGATAATACATTTCTGCTTTGCTTATAACGGCAGCATTTTCTCTTCGACTGGGCTAGTTTGGACGACTGTAAGATTCGGAAGAAAAGACACTTTCCATACGTGACCTAAAGTGATGACTGTATCAATATATTTGTAAAACTGTAATGTTATTATGGCAAAATAATACTACATATGCTAGAAAAATACCTGTATTACCAATAAAACCGCAGGGAAACATGCTTGCAGAAGAAAGGCCGACACAAAATATAAATAATTCTGATCAGAAAATGAATTTTAATCGAACCATTTTAGAATAAACTTCTCGGCATGTTAGATCCATCTACAATACCGACTAAGATGACTTCAATTTCAACTAATTATTTTGTACAACACCGCTTATCCTTTTACTATCTGATAGATAGCTATATCACAATATTTCCAATGCGTGAGTAACGGCTAATTTTGTTTATTTATACCTCTTATTTTGTTATTTACATGGATTGTAATTACAATTTGGAAATTACTTTCTTTGTTTACTTTACAATATTTTTTTCTAATAAATTTTCAAAATTTTCATGAAAACGGGCATGTTGCTTGGGACGCGGAGTGCCGGCACTGTAACAACGCAAAACGTCCGTACCACAAAACGTACGCGTGTGGACGTTTTGCGGCGCATATCGTACACATGTTGACGTTTTGCGGTGCATATCGTACTTGGTACGTTTTGAGGCGAGAGTCTCCAGTAGCGAGTAAATATTGTCAATTTCACAATCTAATAATCAATGCATTTGAAAATAAAAGAAGTGGTTATAACCTTACAATGATCGGGAATAACCCTCTTTCCTCCTTCATTCCTTCCTCCATCCTCCCACCTAGTACCACCTAGTAAAGGTATTGCGTTTACACCACTTGCAAGGCATTTATGCCCTATCACAAGAGCAAATAGAAACATTTCTTTGAATTGCTTTTTAAAACTTTCAAATTCAGAGAAATTTAAATGTCTTAAAATCTTTCTTCACCATTATTTTGTAGTTGGGTTCATTTAAATCAGCTCTGGCTAATTACAAGTTTAAATGAGTAAGTTAACTGTGATTAATCTTTCATGGAACTCGTGCCCGGAATAGATGTTGAAATAAGCGTGACAATTACCTAGCCGTTAATTGTTTTCTTAACTTAGTAAGCACGTGGAACAAGGGAAAGTGGAAATTAGCTTTTGCATGTGAATTATTAATGCGACTTTAACAACTTCTAAAATATTCTAAATTGACATTGGACTAGGAATGGAGTCTAGAGCTCAAACGACATTTATAATATCTTTTTGTTACATTATACCTGTAGTTATTGGAATGATAAAAACATAGCTTTATAATGTCATTGTCATGAACCATTTCTTGGCAACTTGTGTGTACATTTTTCTCATAGACTAGCATAGATGTTTTCATACATATTTTTCAGATTGTTAAGAACGGATGCGTGTCTGTTTTGATATTTTGAAATAATAATAATAATAATAATAATAATAATAATAATAATAATAATAATAATAATAATAATAATATTGTTTTCATTTTTGTGCTTCTATTTTTAATATATGTGTGACTGGTTTGATTATCAAAAACACGTACATCATCATCATCATCATCAAACAACAACAACAACAACAACAACGTTTTTGTGGTATAGATTCAAAGTAACGAATTAAGAAAATAAGATTTCTGTGTCCAAAAATAATTACTCAGTAATGTATTTGAAGAATGTCCCCGTTGCATTATTTTATCTGTATGACTGTCTTTTGTAGATAATGAAATTTCATTCCGACATTTCGGACATTATTGTGATTAATGCAGATTGATATCAAAGTTTAAAGGTCACGTTATCCTGGTTATGATGCAATATTATTTAAAATTTACGAAACGTATATTATATCAAAACAAAGCCATGTTAATCATGTACATGTATTAAAAGACAGAGCTCATTAAAGCACGGGATTTACTTACAGTTTAAAAACAAGTTCAGACACTGCAAAACAAATGTATAAATGTTCATTGACCGTTTAACCGTTTAATAACATAACATAACATAACATAACATAACATAACATAACATAACATAACATAACATAACATAACATAACATAACATAACATAACATAACATAAATTTATTGCATAAAACTCTTTTACAAAGTTTATAGCAAGCAATACATAATTGCGGCAGGTACATGAAAACGTGTTTTCAGAAAAGAAAAAAACAAGTTTATTAAATTGACTTATGAATACATAGTATTTTGCACATTTTAACAAAGTTCAGTGTATTTTTTCTAACATGTCAGCTTTTGTTATCAAAATAAGAGCATACAGTATTATGGAGGTGTATGGACAAATTATGAAATTCTTATTCTATTGGCAAAATATATATATTTCGATAAATTACAAATATATTTTTTAGATGTGGCATTCATTAATTGATCAAATTTATGTATAGATGGCCAACGACAAAAATACTGCCGAAAATATTTGGTTCTCAATTCGCGATATTTAGGACATACTAAAATAAAGTGGAATTCAGTCTCAACTTTTCTCATATTACATGATTTACAAAGCCGTTCTTCTCGCGCGATATTCTCGTAACGTCCGGTTTCTATAAGTAAACTGTGCGACGATGTTCTAAGTCTTGATAGTGCAACCCTATACTTGTTCTCTTTAATGCAATCTAAATAATGTTCTGTTTGAAAATTATGCTTAAATATACAGTAAGATTGAAGGCGTGGCGAATTATTTATGTCTGAGTACCAGCGTTGATAATATGTATCTAATATGCGTTGTTTTATCAACTGGAACGGTATATTATTCACATCCGTTTGTTGATTCCAGACATAGCTTAATCCATGTTCATCTAAAATACTTTTCACTTGAGCAGCCCAATTAAGACCACGATACTCACGACCGCTATCAGCGTCAGCTTTTAAAAACGTATATGTCTGCTTTATTAATGAAGAGTCCGCGTGCTTTAATAATTTAATCCAATATTTAATTAATAATGAACTGCACCGAAAACCAAAGATATAAGTACGATTTATTTGCGAGGGTTTACTTGCGTGTCCTCTTTGTTTATCGTAAGTAGATACACCGGCTCCCTGGAGATCACCGTCTAATAGATGAACGCTCGGCTTGCTTAAAATGAAACTGAATATCCCAGAGTAATTTCCCGTCATGTGATTAACTGTGGATGAAGACCTTATTTAGGCAATTACTTTCATATAGATTACTTCTTTGCATTTTAAATAGGTATTGTCATTCTGGATGGACTTTTTTTTATCAAATTATGGTTGAAACTTGGGACACAGTCTGTATCGTGATGAGACGTCTTAAGATTATTTGAGTGTGCTTTTATGTTTTGTTTGTTTTTGTTTCGTTTAAAAACAAAAAATCAGACTGGAGAAAAAATAACAACAAAAATAAAAAAAATCAACAAAAACCAAACAAAGCTCGACTTGGTCTGAAAAGTTACTTTACAAACGATTTTTTAATCAATTTTGCAACATTTTTGTATCAACTGATCTTGAAATGCTAGCCATATGTTTTCCAAAGTGATAATTACCAAACATATTGCTTACCGACTGTGTATAAGAGTGAATATTTGAATATTTAGTTTCGTTGTATCGTGTGTTAATATGTTTTCAAAGTCACTATTTAAAGTTTAAAAGTCTTTTGTTTAAAAGGTAATAGTGACTCAAATCATGTAATGTTTACTCTTTATTGAATTTTATTGTTAAAGATATACCATGCTAATTCTTGAGTAAATTATTTTTTTACAGTAATTTATTGAAATCTATGAAATTCTTACTGAATTATTCTAATTTGCATAATAGAGTAAAAAACTATGTATGAGAAGCCGCGTTACCTATTACAGGTCAAGTATAAAGTTGGTATTTTCTTAAAAAAACAAAAAAAACAAAAACAAACAAACAAAAACTGCCAGTTATTTCAATGACACTGTGTATTTATATTGTGACCACCTATGGTGGGTAGAATTTTAAACATAACATATCTACTTTGTGTGAAGTTAAAACATGTTTGTTTATTATTTACAAAGACATTGTGTAGCAATGATCCATATTTTCTAATATCAAATTTGATGATAATATACTTTTAAGTGCTCATTCTGAAGGTAACTATTGTTACATGTTAATATACAATATAAATACAAATACAACACTATATCACAAATTCATTATAAATCTGTATCAGATTTATATGTACCCGTAAAACTGTTTATTCTATAAATACTGTAATAGTTAAATTGAATTAATGAGTATTCAATCAACAGAAAACATATAAAAAATTTGCAAACGCTTCAAAATCAAATCAATAATACCAAGTAAGTCGGTTTATTTGTACCATAATACTATTATACCTGTATATCTGTACCAGTTCAAGAACAATAATGCAAAAGTGTATTTTTGTAAACGAATATAAAATTTATCAATTATTTGTATCAATAAACACATGCTTAGTACTATTTGTAAACAATTTTCAAGACAGGCAAGAAAGAAAAAACCGGTAAAAACCATCTCGGAAGTATACATGTATATGAATTAACTTCTTATCAAAACAGTAATAACGAGGAAACAAGACACTTTATGCAAAATGACAATGCCATCGTTGATAAAACATTAAGATTAAGTCCACTATTTCTATACTGTCAGACACAATAATCATTTATCCTGACATAGAAATTTCATGTCTGAACCACGTCTGTTAATGGTGCGGCATATTGAGGTTATATATGAATTGTGACTTCTAGGAGCGATATGTCCATTTGTTATATTTACCCAAGAGAAATCTGAGAGCATCTTTCACGAGACCTCTTTAATATTTTTCAGACATCAGCCAGCACGTGAGAAGACTCTTGGGAAAACAACACAACATCTGATGTGAATGGGAAAGCAGGCACTTCAATAAACAATGAATATGAATAGGGTGATGATGTTTTCTTAGCAAAATCACTCAATCACATCCTGTGATGAATGACGTTGAAGCAAGCCAATCTAATTTTCGTTTGGATAAGGAAGAATATTACGACAAAACAATTATAGAGGGTAACTTAAAGTTAGATTGAATAGTATTTGGTTGGAGTACAGTGTTTTCTTAATTATCATAATTGGAAAACTTATCAAATAATGTGCCATAAAGTATGTTATGTGAGCTGAACAAATTTGGAAGAAACTAAAAATGTCGGACAAAATGAATCATTTATCACCTTGGGATTTAAGCGGTGTCGGTATGGGATTCGGTCTTTACCGGCCTAGGCGCCCAAGTTATACACTCGCTACTCAAGCACAACGGCAAAGAAGTGAAAGTTATAGGTACGCTGTAAGAAAGAGTACCTCTGATCCGGACGAACCTGCCGATTTTATAGAAGGGATTATTCAAAGAAAGAACCGAAAAGAAAGCTATGTTCGTGCTACACGCGGCGAGCACACAGACGTAGAAATGAGTGATGTTCGCGAAGCAATGCGAGCGCTTGATGAAGAGCTTGCTGAATGCTCGGAGGCATCAGGTGCAACCGCCATTTCACCGACAAAACTTCCGCCACCATCAAGTCCTGTCATTCTGATAAACGATCAGAGCTTTACTAACAGTAACAATATCAGTTATGCAAATCATAATGAACAATATGAAAAGTTGAATGGTTCTCAGAGACACAACAGGAAAAGTTTACCAAACGCACTTTCTGAAAATCATATACAGGAACTGAAAGAGGTGGTTGCGTTGAAACGGTATTCTCCAAATCATGAACCACAACATAGTCCGGCACCTGATCGTCAAAGAAAATCTGGAATGTCCTTACCTGTGAATGATAAACATGAGGAGTATAATGAAGATTCCGTCTTCACTACGGAGTTTACCGAAGGCGCGAACGATGCTACAACGCCAACGTCCGTCGAAAGCACGCCATTTAAAGGATTCAAGAAAATACGTTTCAAGAAAAATTTAGTATTATTGTGTGTGAGCTTTATATTGATTTTCAATGCATTTAGAGCTATACAAAATCTCCAATCTTCCATTCACTCAGAGGGGTATCTCGGAATCATATCTATGGCATGTGTTCATGGAACAATGTGCATATCTTGTCTCTGGGCACCGGTTGTAATTAATAAATTCACTGCAAAGTGGACGCTGGTTTTCGGCATGTCCACTTATATTTTGTGGATTGCTTCCAATTTCTACCCTAGATTCTATACCCTTATTCCGTTTGGAATTCTAGCCGGTGTTGGTAAAGGAATACTATGGACCGCGGAGTCTTCTTACATATTGAAGTTGTCTTTCGATTACTCTCGTATAACTAAAGAGGGCTTAGACAAAGAAATGTTTAGGTTTCACGGAATATTTCTTGCGTGCTTCCAAACGACTCATATATGGGGAAACCTTATATCATCCCTGGTGTTACACAGTGCAAAAAAGTCATTGATAAAGGATGAAGAACCAACATTTGATTATTATATGAATACGAATGCATCATATGTGGAAGGAGATATGGTCGGTGGTGGGGAGATAATCACAGGTGGATCTTGTGGGGTCCTGTATCCATGCCAACATGCTTCTATTTCTACCGGTAAGTGTGAACACTTTGAGAATTAACAAGCCTCGATTATATTGTATAAACAAATTTGAATATGATATGAGCAATGAATAAACTGATAGTTATCTTACAATAAACTGAATAGCAATGTAATATCAATATTGCACTCACTGATAAAAAGCAGTAGTTTATGTATCTAATAAGGCATTCACAGATCAATAGCTTTAGAAATAATGAAATTGTATTCACAGATGAATATCAGTAGACTATTGATAACGCATTCACAGAAAAAAAAGCAATTTGATATCAATGTATTCACAGATGAATAGCAGTAGATTATTCATAATGCGTTCAAAGATAAAAAGCGATTTGACATCAATGCATTCACAGATGAATAGCAGTAGAATATTGATAATGCGTTCAAAGATAAAAAGCAATTTGACAACAATGCATTCATAGATGAAAAGCAGTAGAATATTGATTATGCATTCACAGATTAAAAAAGCAATTTGACATCAATACATTCACAGATGAATAGCAGAAGAATATTGATAATGCATTCACAGATTAAAAAGGCAATTTGACATCAATGCATTCACAGATGAATAGCAGAAGAATATTGATAATGCATTCACAGATTAAAAAAGCAATTTGACATCAATTCATTCACAGATATATAGCAGAAGAATATTGATAATGCATTCACAGATAAAAAGCAGTTTGATATCAATGCATTCACAGAGAAATACCAGTGGAATATTAATTATAGATTCACAGATAAAAAGCAATTTGATATTTATGCATTTACAAATAGATAGAAGTAGAATATTGATAATGCATTCACAGATAGAAAGCGAATAGATATCAATGCATTCAAAGAAAAATAGCAGTAGAATTTTTAATTGATAATGCATTCATATGTAAATAACGTTATAAATATATATAATGCATCCGCAGATAAACAACATCAAATCTTAATAATACATTCGCAGAAAAATAGCAGTACAATATTTATCTAATAAAAGTATCATCGATACATGACATAAAGAAAGATTGACGATGACTTTGCGGACAATTTCCATCGTTTTTTATGCGGTACCATCAAGGGTACCCACTGAGGTGTTTTTTTTTACTTGACCGGACTGGACATAATTTTTTCCAAGATTCGTGAACCATTTTATGGCTATACCAGTAACTTATGTGCAAATATTTAGATCATTCCCTTACCCCGTTTTTACAGAATAATCATATTACTGTCCAAACTAACTAATTAAAAAAAGAATGGCGTTCTTATGCTTTTGACTCAAATCGGCGGATTATGAATTGCACCAAATCGATATTTAATAAAATTTTGAGTTCATTTTTTATTATCCTTTGCAGATTTTTTAAATTTTAAGTGCTTCACTTGATCTGTTTAAGAATTTCTTTTTAAGTTTTAAGGCTTTCTGACCTAAGTAGAACTCTTTTAAGCTAATTTAGTTAATGCCATTGTACAGGACTTAATTATGACATCAGCAAAAAATTTACGCAAAAGCTAGCTGTAAAAGCTACATTACCGAAAAGGACATAAGAACTTTAAAAAGTATTTAATTGCTTATAAGCCCATTATGGCCCAGAAATGCTTTTATTTTTTTCTCAAAAACCATTAATTTCCGGTGTACTTTTTATAGTTTCAAAACAGTTACTCATTGACCAATTACCTGAACCATTGTTTATTCTAGTACAATTATAGTAATAAAGTATTTTATATGGAAGTAAAAATACTACTTTGTTTACATTTTGCTACCTTTGTGACAAATTATTTAACAATAAGTGCTACTTTATTCAGGTAACATGCATCAAACTGGCTCTAACCGTTATTTAAGTGTAATACAACTCAAGTTTCCCTGTCTTAATAAGTAAACATTTATTCCTTACTGAGCCATTATATGCCTTAAATGTATTTAGTTATGTACATATCTGATATAAGAACAAGTGTTGTAGCTCCACACATGTTTACAATGGCTTGAACACACTCAATTAACAAACCACATGTCTTTTTAATCAAGTCAACAGTTGACTATAAGTTAATCATATAGAAGAAGCTAGTTTCATTAGAAAATTTAACAAACTTATTCGGCAATATAAGCGGCTGTTTCCCGTTTAAAAGAACACTATTCTCAGACATGGTGATTTACCCTGGATCTAAACTCAATTTGCTCTAAGCCATTTTACGTCTGAAACAGATCTTATCTGAATAGCTGTCCTGGCGTCGGAACACGGCAATTCCTTGTTTACAATTGACAGAACTGTTTCTTCTATATGTACTTAATATGATACAATGTCATTGACATTAACAGAAACATGAGTGCAGATTGATATTAGTTAGCTAAGATATATATAATCTAAGGATTTGTTATAAAGACGTCATTAAGTTTTGCCGAAAGGACACTTACAAGCTTACAAAATAAAGCAACGTTTGAAAATATGCCAGCCTGATATTTTATTTCAAATATAGTTTTCTATTGGTTTGATGTGTTAAATGAAATACAAACTTTGAATCGTTCGACTCCCAAATCAAGATTTTTGCAACGCCATGTTTGTTTGGTTTCATCCAATTATTTTGGCCTTTCCTAGAATGTTAAGTTGCATGAGTTTAGGTATTAAAGCGGCCTTCAGATTTTCTAACATAATCCGTTATTATGTTGATGATTTCTATGGATCTTGTCAGCACATATGAAGTTCGACTGGAATATTGACCAGCAATTCCTTTATTTTGAACCCATTCTCAATAAAAGGTTCAATAAGGGTTTGTTTGAATGTTAAGCATCATGTAGTAAAACCTCTGTATTTGGAGTCCTTTCAGCGACATTTTCTTGATACGCATTGCATATTTTTAGGCAAACCAAACCCACGACGGAAAAAATATCTCGATGAAGACTGCATAAAAGGCCGAATAAAAACGGGTAAATATAGAGGAAAGCCAGAAGGATAAAATCACATTTCGATTTTCTTTAAAAAAAGCTTTGAATTTTATATAAATGTTTAAAATATTAAAACCTACCCTGTAATTGGCTATTTTCTCCTTCACATATCGACTTAAAGCGCACATTTGGAGCAATATTGTTATCCATATAGGTATCCACCCCCGTGAATATGCATTTTTAAAGATAAAATTACTTATATACTTACTTTGAAACAACACAGAAATTGTTGTTTTTTCTTTCAACAGAAAATAAATCTGAAGGCCGCTTTAATGCGCTCATTTGTTTAAATATAAGAAAACTATTTCACTATCCGTACATTTTTATGGATTATTCTATAGTATAAATGTGGTCTTAGTGAACTTAAACATTAGAATCATTTGCTGAGTGTATGATCTTTTAGATGTTTGTTTTCCAACAGACAAAACGAGTAAATATTCAAAAACATGATCAAGACATGATTTTTGTTATCCATACATTATCAAGATATCAGTTTTGACGAATCGGTTCACTTCAAAGGATAAATACATTATACATATATGTTTAATAATGACAATGCAAAGAAAATGAACATGTTTTTAACGATTTCAAAATGTATAAAAACTACTTTTTGTTAATATATATTTTAAAAAAAGTTTGTAAATTCAAAACTTCAAGGAAACTTGTGATTAAGAAAATCAATTTCTATTTCTTATTAAATCATTTTTGACAACGATGTCCAAAGATGAACACATCAAGTTAAAGGCATAATTATGCCTCAGAAATCCATAGTTTTTTAAGTCTTTAAAAATGTCAATTTTGTGTTAAAAAAAAGTTTTAATAATTGATTTAGAGCATGCCAGATGCTTAACAACTGAAGAAAGTCGAACTAAATGTGCAGTGATATGTCATAATGGTAGCAAAATGTAAATAATACATTATTTTTACTTCCATACAAAATTCTATTTCACTACAATTATACAAAGACTAGTGTCAAAAGAGCAAAGAGAGCAAAGTATAGTTCATCTACATCGCAAATGTGTAATTTATTTGAAACTTTAACAAGATAAAAAAAGGTTTTGGGGAAAAAATGATAACAATTCTGAGGCATAATGGTTCTTTAATACATTGTGTAACAGAATCATAGATTGTCATGTCGACCGGCAGAAGTGACATTAAACGTTTAAATTGGCGAAATTAACCGTACCTAAATATTCTCCCTTACTTGGAAATATGCCATAAAGAAAATAAGAGTACATTCCATGAATTATGATCGCATATGGTATCCGAGATATAATTTAGTAACTTAACACATTAGTAGATAACGGAACATATCGTTAATATAGATAGCTTATATTATCAACACCTCTGTGATGGAAGACATGGTATAAGTGCTAATACTATTATAGTCAAGATATGTAGAAGCAGACGAACAATGTTCTTGAACTTACTATCATATTACATTTCAATCACAATTTATTTTAGAATATAATATACGAGTATTTATCCTACCACTGTTATTAAATATAAACAACGCACATATTTTTATAATGATAAAACAAAGATATCATAATGTCATTTAAACATAGATTCGAAAATATGTCCTTGTTTAAAAATATAATTGAACTTAAAGCTACATTCTTCCAGAAGAGCCAAAATATTTCAAGAAAATCAAACTTGAGAAAAAAGTAATAAGATTTTAAGGAATGTTAATTGATTCAAGATTTAAGTACTAATTTACAAGTTATGTGTGATTAATGACTGCTTTTGTAGTATTTACCACCATATTTTAACTGCGTTAGTAACGCAATAAGGGTTATTTTGTATATCCTGACCTCTTCCGGGAAATTCACATAGACTGCAATGTGTAAATTACTGTCTTTGTTTATATTAAAACATTTTTTTCAAAATATTCATGAAAATTTGCATGAATCTAGAGAGATACTGCTTTAAACATAATACATGCACCACGTTTTTTTTTCATTTATTTTTATTTGGCTGCAACGCATTAGCAATTAAATTCTGTTCAACATGTAAGGTGGATTGTTTTAAACAATAACAAGAAATTATATGAGAGTTAAAATATACTGT